AGGAAAAGCCTCTGCATGGAACAGCTAGATAGTGCAGTGGCTGAAACATCAGCCCTAGACTCAGGAAGACCTGAGTTCAAATCTGGCCTCAGACACTTGACATTTACTAGCTGTGTGACCCTGGGCAAGTCACTTCACTCCATTGCCTCGCAAAAAAGAAAAAGAAAAGGAAAAGCCTTTGCAGAAGGTAGGATTTGAATTGAATCTTGAAGAAAGCCAAGGAAAAGTAAGAAATGAAAATAAGACATTCCCAGCAGGCAGGGGGTATATAGCCTGTGCAAACAGAAAAGGGAGATGAGCTGTAACATGCAAAGAAGAACAAGAGGGTCAAGATGGCTGGATCCTAGGTTAGACCCCACTTTCATGGCAGAGAATAAAGTATAAAAAGACTAGAGACTCAGGAAAGAGTTGGATTGTGAAGAGCTTTTAAATGACAGAGGACTTTATATCTGAGCCTGGAGGTAATAGGAAGTCACTGGAGTTTATTTCCTTGGAGGGTGTGAAGCTTGACTTAGTCAGATCTCTTCAGGAGGGTGCTGGTCAATGTTTAACAATAGGCTCTCTGAAAAGACAAGACACACTTTAAAGTTTAATCTACATCATTCAGAATTTCTCCAACCTGTTTTTAAGTCTAAGTAATCAACCAAACAACAAATGAAGCCCATTTTCGGTCTTCTGAGGCATAAACAAACACCCAAGCTGAAATTTAACAACTGCCTCCTGGGCCGGCTCCAGTATACCCTGACCTGTACTTTAGAAAAAAGTCACTTTAGCAGCTGAGTGGAGATTGAATTAGGGTGAGGAGAGACTTGAAGTAAAAAGACCAACCACAAGTCTATTGGGATAGGCCAGACAAGAGAGCATGACGGACCAAACTAGCACGTGGGCTGTGTGAGTGGAGGGAGAGAAGGGGCTACACGTGAGAGATGCTATGAAGGCAGAAATGTCTGGATTTGGCAATGGATTGACTACAGGGACCAAAACTGAGAAGTTAGGGAGGACACCCGAGTTACCAGCCTGGGTGACTAGGAGAAGAGTGGTGCCCTTGATGGTAATAGGGAGGCTTGGAAGAGGGGTACCTTGGGGGAGAACCATAATGAGTTCTGCTTTGAATATGTCTGGATGTTTGGACCATCCATACTGAGTCAGAAAGGCAGCTGGTAATGCCAACTGGAGCTCAGGAGAGACTAGGGCTTACCTCTAAAGATCTGGGAATCATCTACATAACAGTTGATAACTGAACCCATGGGAGCTGATGAGATCACCAAGGGAGAATGAGGACTCAATCTAGAATCCAAAACTTTTTTAAAAAAATAATATATTGATAGCTATATTTTAATATAATTTGTTTCCTATGTATTTCATTTAAAATCATTATTCTCAGAAAGGGTCTGTATAGATTTCACCTGAATGCCAAAGGGGACCATGACCTAAAAAAAGAATAAGTACTCCAGGAAGGAAAAGAGGAGAACCCAGAAGAGATCCTAGGGGGATACTCATGAGTGTGAAATGGATGAAGATCCAGCAAAGGAGGAAAGGTTAGGAGCATGGATGGGGATTGATGGACCAGTCTAGAAACCCAACCTTTGGCTCCCATCCAGTGGTGAGGAAACTGGGGAGACTTAAGTTCCAGATCCAGTTCTGACACTAACAAGCTGTGAGATCTGAGAGGAGTCATTTCACTTCTCTGTGGCTTAGTTTCATTATCTACCATCTGATACCCCTTCCCTACCAGGGAGTAGGGTTGCCAGAGGGGAGGGAGAAGGGAGTAGAGTCAGGGAATATTCTATGCTTGAAACTTTCTTTTCTTATGTTAGTGATTAATGCTCATGGCAAGCCAAGATTTCATTTAAATATATCAATATCCATTGAACCGTGAGCACACAGTAATATACTGATGCAGCACTACAAGCCCAGAAAACCACCTCGGTTTGGAATTAATAAAATATTATGGTACCATGAATACAGCAGAACCCCAAAGTTCCAAGAGCCCTCAGCTTACTGGACCTGACATGCTGTGTCAAATGTGGTCAATGTGCAAATTGTTTTGTTGAACTTAAAAAAAAATCTTTAGTAGTAATCTTTAGAATGGTCATCTAGGTAAGGGCTAAATGCGCATTCCCCAAAGTGGCATATTTGCTGTTCCCTATATGTGACATTCCATCAGCCACATCTGTTTCTTTGCCTGGAAAAGCAGGAACATTTTTTGAAAATAAATGTGATATAAAAACAAAAGGCATTAATATACCTTAAAAAGCAGTCCCAGGTGGGGGGCAGCTAGGTGGCACAGTGGATAGAGCATTGGTCCTGAAGTCAGGAGGACCTGAGTTCAAATCTGGCCTCAGACCAGACACTGGACACTTACTAACTGTGTGACCCTGGGCAAGTTACTTAACCTCAATTGCCTTAAAAAAAAAAAAAGCAGCAGCTCCAGAATAAACCAAACAAATGGATGCCTGGTACTTAGGGTTAAGACAAATGCTCTATGATTTTAGCACATCATGACAGGTCACTAGCTCACTCAAGGACAGAATGCCTTGTCCCAGAGCTATAGCCAAGGGAGTGATAGACAGAAGAACGCCCTCTACCTGTTTAAGCCCCTGAGTGGGAGAGTATGTAGATGATTCCCAGATACTTAGAGGTAGCCCTAGTATCTCCTGAGCTCCAGTTGGCATTACCAGCTGCCTTTTCTGACTCAATCTGGATGGCCCAACCATCCAGACATATTCAAAGCAGAACTTATTATGTTTCTCCCCCAACATACCCCTCTTCCAAGCTTCCCTATTATCATTAAGGGCACCACTCTCCTCCTAGTCACCCAAACTCATAACCCTGGTGTCATCCTTAACTTCTCGGTCTTGGTCCACATATTCAATCTATTGCCAAATCTAGACACAGCTTGATGCATGTACACAATGATTACTGGCATGGTCTTATACCAAGACAGGTATTGGTAGCCCATGGAGCAGGGGGAGAGAGAGAGAGAGAGCTCATGGCATCTTTTCAGAAAGACATCCTGGTGAGTAACATATCTACATCATTACTGGGAAGGAGAGTGATTAATAGAATGAAGAGGCCCTAGAAGCTAACTGGCTTTTGAGGTTTCTTGGGGGGAAACTGCTGGAGAATTGCCTTTAAAAAGTATGATAGAAAAGAGGGTCCAGCCATGTGGCTTCACTGGGATGCATCCCTATGCCTTTTCCTGCTTCCAAGTGAATCTATGCCTTATGTGAAAGAAGCTGGATGCCAAAAGATTCTATGCTGTAGCAATCTCAAGATAATCTCATAGCTAAACCCTGGACCAGAAAGGGTTAACCAGGCCAACATTGGGGCCAGCCACCCACTCCAACCCTATAGCACAGCTCAGTTTCTCACATTGTTATGAGTAGGAGAAAACTAAACATCCTGAAGGTATTACCATTTATAGAAGAGTATGTATGCGGTTATCTATATATAAACACCTGGGATTTATGTCATAGGAACCTGGACCTGGTTGGGGGAAGGGTAGTTAAATTCCAGAGGTCATTCAGTCTTTCCCTCTAGTTCAGGCACTGGGGAGTCAAGTAAAGAAGAGAGGTTTCTCCTATCTTCAAGTTCCCTTTATTTTCCCTGTTTCTGGGTATTCCCACCCCAATACCTCACATTTTCATCTGTAAAACAAGAAACTTGAACTAGATGGACTCCTAGCCTCATACTCAATTCTTCCCTTGACACCAAAAGCTAATTTCCTCTTGTATTACCCTCAGGAGGAGAGACAGTGACCCTCTGTGACCTAACTGGTCTTCAGGAACTGGAAGGCCATGATTCTATTCTACCACCTTCCTCTCTACACAAGGCCAGAGTCAATGACTCTGATAAGGTCTTAATGATGGAAGGCCAGTGATGACGAGAAACCTGCTATACAGACACAGCTCCTTCAGAGATTTGTGTGAGGTACAGTAGCTCACTCGACTCCCTCCAACCAGTATTTTTCTAGCCTCATTTCAAATGGAGGTGATCTGAGGCAAAAAGAAATCTGATTTGTTTGAGAGAAGACAGATCTGGGAACTGTGATTTCATCAGTGAAGAGAACTTCCGGTGTGGAAACTACTTCCACCAAAATAGGTCAGCAATTTGTATGTAACACATACAGTCATAGACCTAGAACTGGAAGGGACCTTGGCACCTAAGCCAACCCCCTCATTTTATAGATGAGGAAAGTGAGGCCCAGGGAGGTTAAGTAACTTGTCCAAGATCACAAAGGTAATAAGCATCAGAGATGGAATTTGAACCCAGGACCTCTGACTCCAGACAGTGATCTTTCTACCAACTCTATCATTCTGCCTCCAAAATATAGTCTTAAAGAGTTCTTTGGGAGTACTCAGAGGTTAAGTCCATGGTCATACAGCTAGGTATGGGTCAGAGGAAGAGTCCAAATACAGGACTTCTTCACTCAAGATTCCCCAGTCATTGTATTATGTTACTTCTCAAGGATTCCAATACAGCTATACAAATTTCTTCAGCCCTGGAAAGAAACTGAAATGTGGGTAGGTAAGAAAAAAGCCATTAAAGTAGATAGTATTCCTTCTGTCTCCTCCCTTTCTGCTGGCTCTGGTCTCTATCCTTGCCTACGAGCCCATTATTAAGGGCACTATGGGAGCTGGGCAAGGTGAGGTCAGCTGCATCTTTCAGCTTTCAGAGTTTTTGTTCCTTCTCTGTAGTGCTCTATTAAAATGAATGGATAGCCAAAGACCTGATGATCCCAGAGAATTCAAGGTCAATAGCTTGCCTCTAAGTGTCAAGGGGTAAGGGAAGGGGGGAGGGAGAGATACACACACACACACACACACACACACACACACACACACACTCACACACACACACTCACACACACACACACACACAGACCCACAGACACACACACACACAAAGACAGACAGAAAAAGAGGTAGAGACAGAGACAGAGACAAAGAGGCAGAGGGACAGAGAAACAGAGACAGAGGCAGAGAATCTTCACTTACTTGCAGCCTGGATTCGGGCTTTTCGGCTGACCACCAACCCAAATCGATTTTGGGCCACACAGTCATAGTCTCCCTCATCAGAAGGACCAGTTCCCCGATCTGGCCGGAAGTTGGGGAGGAGGAGTGAACCATTGGCCAGCACAAGAGCATGGGTACTCTCTGGGAGTTCCACTCCATTCTTCCTCCAGGTGACCCGAACTGGTGGTGTACCTTCTGCTCGGCAGCCCAGCACCACCGACTGCTCAGGTACAACAATCTCATCACTTGGTTCCACAGTGAATGCCAGCTCCGTGGAGCGACCTAGGTCTGGATCAACACCAGGAAGAAAGAAAAAACATCTCAGTGTCAGGAGCTCATGGAGTTAGTTATAGGGTCATAGAAATGCATGCAAATTCTCTCCATAAAACAGATGGGTTAGGATAATCCCGGCTCCAGCCTTTCCAGGCAGCCCCTTCTTATGTATAGCAATCAGAAACTCATCCCTCAAAATGGACATAGTATGTAACCAAATAAATACCTACATGTCTATTTGATCAGCACAGTGCCTAGCACATAGTAGGTACCTGATAAATGCTAGTTGATTAACTGATTCTGTCCATCCCTTTGCCTTTGGGTTACTGCATCTCAACTGGATAGTTTGGGGTCTTTCTCATTTTGAGAAATCTCCAGGGAAGATGACACAAGTATCTTTAGGGGATTTTGTAATTTTTCCCCAATCCTGAGCCCTATACAAAGCCTATCTTTCTGTGACAGCTCCCTTTCAGCATCAGCAGGAGGGAGACACTTTGCATCTCTGGTCGCACATAGTAGGCATTTAATAAATGTTTGCCAAATGAATGAACTTAACTGCTCCATGTCTCAGTTTCCTCATTTGTCAAATGGCATAATACCTAACACCTAAGTCTACCTGTCATGTAAGGTTGTGTGTGAATTGAGGTAACAAATGGGTGAGAGTACTCTGAACAGTTAAAAGTGCAAATAATACAAAGTCAGATATAATAATGATTTCTTCTTTGCCTTCACCCAGCAAATCATCTACACCTAGACCAGATCTGAGCCTAGACCAGAAATCAGTTAATGCTCGTGGCTGAAAGAAAACAAATCTCAGGGAAAAGTGCTTAGGATTCTTGCTTATCTCTTCTGTTTTCCTTTTTTTTTTTTTACTAGATCTAGGATTTCACTTAGAGTAGGGAGAAAATGCCCAGCCTCTACCAAAGCAAATCTTCACCTTCTCTTCAATTTATAGTCTCAGAGATTGCCTGTGGGCACTGAAAGATTAAATGACTTGCCTGGGGTCACAGAGTCAGTAAGTGTCAAAATCCAGACTTGAACTCCAAGTCTTTCTGACTCGGAAATCAGCTCTCTACTCACTTATTCCATGCTGCTCCTTTTCTTTTCTTTTTTAACTATCATAGAATCATGACAAGTTGCTCCATTAATTTTGCTTAGTCACAATTACTGCCAAAAGATCCCTCCCCACAAATAATACTAACTAGCACTTCTATCAGGTTTTAAGGTTTGCAAAGCACTTTACAAATACCCCATTTTATCATCCTGACTTCAGGAAGTAGGTGCTATTATTATCTCTCACTGTATAGATGAGGAAACTGAGGCAGTCAGAGGTTAAATGATTTGCCCACGGTCATACAATAAGTGTCTAAGGATGAATTTGAACTCTGGTATTTCTAACTCCCGGTCCAGGATTCTATCCTTTGGGCCACCTGGGATCTTCAGCATCCTTTGCCCTTTTCCGCCGGAAGATGAAGGACACAGGTACCCACTCCAATACCGGGAGAGATCGGATGCCTGGGTTTGATTTCGGCATGACTGTGACCTAGTCCCTCTTCTGAGGTCGTTCCCCCTATTAATATAAAGTATACTGTAGGAGAAAGGAAAAGAAATTCTAATTTTTCTCCGTTCTACCCTAGGTCAGCCCAAATCCATTAAAAAAAAAAAAGAGGGAAAGTCCTTTGAAACTGCTCCCTCCTGCCAAGAGGCTGTATGTGTTACATTCAGGGGATGTGAGTTTGAAATTGGACTCTGCCACTTTACTATTTCTGTATCGTTGGGCAATCTACCCTCTGGAAACTCAGTTTGAAGTACAAAATCTGGAGATTGAACTAGAAGGCTTCAGTCCCCTCAGGTGAGGGAACAGAAAGGAGGAAGTAGGGGAGGAAAGGGAGAAAGGAGGTGAAGATGAGATGTGAGAGAAAAAGATTGTTCTCATGGCAGACCACTGAAAGTCCAGTTTCTCTATCTCCTTCACACCACAGCCTGCTTGGCTTGTTATCCAATTAATGAGACCCAGCACCGCAAACTGCTCAACTTTACCCTGAGGGTAAGGGAGTGGGGCTTTTCCCCGACCCCCGAGGAGCCATACAAAAGGAGCCTGGGATTCAGAGCCAAACCCTGTTCTCCACCCTACCCACCCCCAGCTCTCTCCCTTTGTGACCTCAGGGAGACCAGTTCCCTCCCTCAGGCACTAGCTGACTGAGACTGATAGCTGACTGCTGACCTGGGGGCGTAGGGGTTGGGGGTGGGGGGCAAGCGAGGGAGGAAGCGTGCCGCTTAGAGAGCAGGCTAATCAGCATCTGGGTAAAACACATCGCCATAGAAGCCAAGAGGATTTTCCTTCCCTAGAGTGTAGCATCCATCTAAGTGCCTGAGTTACTTTCAAAGAGTGAGTAGACGAAAATATTAACTCCTTCAATAATTGTGTATTGAAAAATTCTTTAAGACGGGATAAAGCAGCCTATTTTCAATCCCTACTTAACCTTCTCTGGTCTCTGGCCAACACCTCCCGAACTGCTGTGGAGGTAGGTGCATCAAGTTTCTTCAGTGACTCCAGGTGAGGGAAGATTGTATGCTGTTAAGAGACGATAGGAGCCCAGGAGAAAAGGAGATAAATACAGGTCGAACATTAGGGCTGGGAAAGCCCGACCAGGATGGGAGCAGGGGACAGAGAACCGGTCCATTCTGTCCAGCCAAACGGAGATTACTGACATAGCCCTGTGCTGCCAAGTGCAGGCAAGCTCGACCCAGTCCCAGAGTGAGTGTGTCTGTATACAGGCATCCTGGATGTATGAGCGTTTTTTTGTATGTGTGTATGAACCTGTGTATCTCGGCGCACTTTTGAATGGGTGGAAAAGTAATAGTGCTTGCCCGTACTCCTGTAAGATATATCTCTCACCGGTAGCAACACTTTTTGCGACCCTGGAAAACCAGGTTTTGGCTTTATTTCTCCCTAAGACCAGAAGCCGCATCTCAATCCCACTCTGAGTCCTACGCTGAGACTCTTCTTTTCTAACACATCCCTAGTCCCCGCGCTGTCCCTTCTGTTCTCAAATCCCACTCAGCTACCCGCACACTAGTTGCTTAGTTCCAATACCATCTCCCCTTACTCAGGGACCAGTCCCTTTCCGGTTTCCTTCATTCCAGTTTCCTCCAATTTTCCCATTTCAATCCAGCTCTAAGCCCCCTAACTCCAGGCTGAGTTTCCTCTCCTTTCCTTTTTGTGCTGGCTGTCTTCTCACTGCAGGAAACTCACTGCAGTCCCTCTGGGACTGCTCCCTCCCTTTCTCCCTTCTGTCTGGGCTAGGTTACCTCTTAGACTGTTTTATTTCCTTCACCTGTGTCTTCCTTCACTCTGGGCTCCATTCACTCTCAGATTCAGACTCCCCTCAGACTTTACTCCATCCTCTCTCCATCTCCCTTCACTCCGGGTTTCATTCCCCACTCCATCTCCGTGCACTCTGGACTCCAATCCCTTCCCGTGGCCCATCCTTGCTCCGTCTACCTTCACTCCTAGCTCCATTCCTCCCCCCGGTCCATCTCCGCTCCATCTGCTTTCGCTCTGGACTCCATCTCCTGCCGGGGTCCAACCCCTCTTCATCTCCCTTCACTCCGGGCTGTATCCCCGCCCGGGGTCCATCCCCACACCATCTCCCTTCACTCTGGGCTGCACCCCCTCCCGGGATCTATCTCCGTTCCATCTCCCTTCACTCCAGGCTTCTTCCCATCTCGGACTCCGCCCCATCTAGTTTTGGTCCCGGGTCCGCTGCCCTCTCGGCCCCGCCTCCCCTTGCCCCTGTCCCTGCCTCTGCCCGACCCCTGCCCCTACACTCACCGCTTCCGAGAACGAGCTGCAGCAGCAGCAGCAGCAGCAGCCGAAGCAGCAGCAGCCAGAAGCGGGGGCGCAGGAGCGCGGGGCGCGGCGGAGCCATGGGGTGCTTTGCTCTTTTCCGCTCAGCTCCGGACCTGTTAGTGTCCTCCCTGTGCCCCTCGCAGACGGCGCCGGGGCCAAGATCGGGGCCCGGGCCGCGGCCGAGCCCGGGCGGCAGGAGGCTGGGGCCGCATGCCGCTGCCTAGTAGCTTCGGGGCTGCGGGGGACTCGGCGCTTGCGCCATCTTGCACATAGAGGAGCGATCTGTCAGCATCTCGCTCCGAGCGCTCGGAGCACACGCTCCCCACCCGCCGCTTGCCCGCTCTCTCCTCCCACTGCCTCCACTCCCTCCCCTCTTTCCTCCCCCTTTCCCCTCAAGCCACCCTGTCCCCTCCCTCCTCCTCCCCAACCCCCTCTTTCTGGAGGCCCAGTCTGGGGAACAAAAGACCCAACCAGCGCTTTATTAGGCCGGACATCCCCGGCAGCGCCGCTGCCTCCCCCTCCCGCCCTCCTTTCACTCTTTGAACTGAGGCCGGCGGGCCCCTAGAACTCCCAAAGCTCCATCAGTCCCGGAGAGCCTCGGAGCTCTCTGGACCTCTCCCTCCCGCTGGAAGGAAGGTCTTTGAGAGGGAGTTACCGAGAAAGATCGGGGGAGCACCCTCGGGTTTGACTTTCAAAATAACTGAGAGGGGAGAAGTGGAGGGGGTTGTGGGGTGTACGTGTAAGTACAGGGAGTCTGGAAGAAGAGAGGAAAGAGGCAGAGATGCTCTGTTTTGGAATAGACCAACCCCCTCGTGGCTTACCACTCAATGAAGAATCTGAACCAGTCTTTAGACTCTAGATAGATATCTAGGTGTATACGTGTAGGGAAGATAAACAGATTTTGTGGTTGTTAGTCGTGCCCGACTCCTAGTGACTCCGTGGACCATACTGTGTCCATAAAGTTTTCTTGGCAAAGATACTGAAATGGTCTGCCATTTCCTTCTCCAGTGGATTAAGGCGAATAGAGGTTAAGTGACTTGGCCAAAGTCACACAGCTAGTGTCTGATGACAAATTTGAATTCAGATCTTCCTGACTCCAGGCCTGGAGTCTACTAAGTCCTGAGTCTGCTGAGCCACCTAAGTGTCTCCTAGGTGATAGATGAGATAGATAGATAGATAGATAGATAGATAGATAGATAGATAGATAGATAGATAGATAGATAGATAGATATGTAGAAAGATGTAGATGTGCAGAGAAGATGGGTAATGTGTGTGTGTAGAGACAAGAGAGGTAGGAAGGAGATAAGGAAAGATTAGAGGAAGAGAAATGAGAGAGGGAGAGAGAGAGAAAGAGAGAGAGAGAGAGGGGAGAAGAGAGACAGACAGACACAGACACACACAGAGTCCTTGAATTAAACAGTGCAAAGTTTATAGTGACCTCCTGGGAAGCATGTAAGTCCCACAAATTCCGTTAGGTCATTCAGTTGTGAGATTCTTAGGATACTTTCTCACCCTGGGATAATCTATAGCTCCAGATCTACTATTATTTGGATAAGAGAGCTAATGAAAGTCATTTACAGACTTTCATCTGTAAAATTAGGATGAAAAGCAGCCAGTTGTAGTTGATAGAGGATAGAGGGCCTGCCTAAGGTCAGTAAAAATGGGGTTTTGAGTCCTACTTCTGACACATACTAGCTGTGTGACACTGGTCAGGTAATTTAAATTCACAGTGACTCAAACAACTCTCTGAGATTATAAATTATGGATGAATTGCCAACCTGTGCGGAAGAGGGAGGTTTCATACCAGGAGCTCCCTACATTGATAAAACCACAGGTATAAACCACCAGCCCCCTTCACCAAAATGAGGCTATTCCTCCCAGACTACTTTTGAAGTGGTATTTTTAAAATTTAAGATGTTTAAACACAATGAAAAATTTAGTATGACAGAAATTTAGGGAAGACTATTACCATGTTTTTTAATTGGAAAAATTTCAAAGACATCATCTGTCAAGGAACACATTGCTGGTAATAAAACATAGGACCCAGGTGAGGATCTATGTTAAGAGCATCCATGCCACATATATTTACATAGAACATTGTCCATGCTGTCTTATCATGCTCATGTTACTCCTGATGAGACTGATGAGTCTGTCACAGACTCAGCAAATGTTGGGTACTTTGAGAGACCAATCTAGTCCATTCCCTTCTTTTACAAATGGGGAAACTGAGGTCCAGAGTGATAGTGATGTGTCCGAGATCACACACTTTCCTATCCAATGGCAAAGCCATAATTGGAACTTGGATCCCCTAACTTCAAAATCTAGTGCTCATTCATTCATATATTGATTCACTTACCATTTATTGAACACCTACTATGTGCAAGGCACTATGCTAGGCACCATGGATTGAAGACAAAAATAAAATATTACTGTCCTCAAAAAGCTTCCATTCTATAAAGGGGGCAATAAGATTGGCTCATTGATTTAGAGATGTAAAGGAATTTAGGGAGGTCATCTAATCCAATCTGTTCATTGTAAATATAAGGAAAATGAGGCCCATGTACATAGGTAAAGGAATATAAAATATATTCTAAGTAAATATAAAATAATTGGGGGGGGAGGAATCAGGAAAGAGCCCACCTAGGCAGTACCCCTTGAGCTGAGTCTTAATGGGAGTTAAGCATTCGAAGAACCAGAGGTGATAAGAGTTCATTCTGGGAATACATAGGGAACAGCCCAGTTTGGCTGTAAGGCAGAGTATGAGGAGAGTTTGGAACGACAGGCTGGACTGGAGCCAGATTGTGGCAGGTTTTAAATGCCAGGCACTTGTATTGTTTGTATTTGATCCACTGCAAGTCTTCCACTAAATGCTGTTTGTGTCTATGCCTTCAATATTTGTCTGGAATCAGGCAATCTTCTCACTGAAGAGGGGAGAGAATCTCACACTTAGCCTGGGACCTTCGGATTTATGTATTTGGGGGGAAGGGATGAAGACAGGCTCGTCCCTTTTCTCTTGGTCACTCACAGATTGTTTGATCCTGTTTTCATCTATCTGACTGGGAGGTCATGTGGCATGACAGAAAGAGCATCAGGCCTGGTTCTAGCTCCAGCTTTTACTAGGTGCTTTGGGGAATGTTTATTCCTTTCTCTGGGCTTCAAGTTCCCAAATCTCTAAAATAACTGATTGAATAAGACAATCTGGAAGGTTTCTTTCAGTCCTCCTCCTTCTTTCCCAGATCTTGGTTCTGATACCAGGAGACTTGGGTGCCAGTGATTGCAATGTAATCAGGTTGCCTCTAAAAGAATGGGTATATGGGGCAGCTAGTGGCAGAGTAGATGGAGCACCAGCCCTGGAGTCAGGAGGACCTGAGTTCAAATTCGGCCTCAGACACTTGACACTTACTAGCTGTGTGACCCTGGGCAAATAACTTAACCCTATTGCTTAATGCCCCCCCCAAAAAAAATTGGGTATGAGGTTAGAACCACATGAATTCAATTTAAACAAGATCTGCACAACTTTAGAAATTCTAAGGTCTTCCATGTATTTGTTGGGTTGGGGGAGGGAAAAAAGTATTGAGGGAAGAGGACAGGGGAAGACCACTTACCTGTATAAAGCACTCATCTCTCAGTTCCTGAGGGTCTGGTAAAAGGATACCTAACTGGTTACTATCCTATGTTTATCATAAGAGAACATGGCATCAGTGGATAATGTTGAAGTTGAAATCAGTGAGACCAGAGTACAAATCCTGCTTTATGACCCTGGGCAAGACACTTAGACATTCTTCCTCCCCCCTTTTTTGGTGAGGCAATTGGGGTTAAGTGACTGGCCCAGGGTCACCCAGCTAGTAAGTCAAGTGTCTGAAGCTGGATTTGAACTCAGGTTCTCCTGACTCCAAGGCCGGAGCTTTATCCACTGTGCCACCTAGCTGCCCCTACACTTAGACTCTCTTGACCTCAACTTTCTCATCTGGAAGGGGCAGCTAGGTAGTGCAGTGGATGGAGCACTGGACTTGGAATCAAGAAGACATCTTCATGAGTTCAAATCTAGCCTCAGACACTTGCTAGCTGGGTGACCCTGGGCAAGTCACTTAATCCTGTTCACCTCAGTTTCCTCATCTGTAAAATAAGCTGAAGAAGGAAGTGGCAAACCATTCCAGTCTCTTTGCCAAGAAAACCCTAAATGGGGTCATGAAGAGTTGGACACGACTGAAACAACTCAACAGCAGCCACAAATTGAGGATAATAATAGCATTTACCTCCACAGAGTTGTTATCATGATCAAATCAGATCATATATGTGTAAATGTTAAAAGTTTATTATTATAATTATCCCACTTCAGACACCTACCAGCTCTGTGATCCTGGGCAAGTTTGTTTAGCCTTGTGGAGTCTCAGTTTCACCATCTGTAAAATGGAAAGAATCGTAACACCTATCTCACAGGGTTGTTGAGAGAAGCAAATGAAATAATGTATATAAAATGTTTTATAAATCCTAAAGTGCTTACATAGATGTGAACTTTTATTATGGTTAAAGGGACATGTTAACTATTGGGTGAGGGGAAAAATAACTCCCTGGCTGAAGTGATTGATTTCCCTGGGGAAGTGCAACAATCTTCCCACTTCATGCACTCCCAACTTTTCCGGGGACCAGAAGAAGTAGAGTTGGCTTTTTCAACTGCTGCTGCTAGTTTTCAAAGTCATGCTCACAAATGTGTTAAACCTTCCAAATTTATGAGTCCACAGTTTGAATGATATGCAAAGATTGGTAATCTATTATGTACAAATATGCTTAACTCTTTTCCTCTATGATGTCCTTCCAGCCTCCCCTCCCCACCTTCATTACTTGAGGATCTCACCTACCAATCTACTCTGGGGTCAGAATCAAGACTGACCAGTCTGTCTTTTTCCTGCTTCCATTGATTGGTATGGGGATCCAGCCCTTCTGAGGAATCATATACCACGTTCACAGAGCCAGAGGTAGAGGATTGAGGCCTGTATTCAAATCCCCAGTGTGCTACTGAGTGTCTTCTTCTATTCCTACTGATGTGCTCCTGAATGCACATGGAAAGAGTCACTTAATGTCTAGACTCCATTTTCTGTAAATTTATGTTTTCTAATATCACCTGGCCTTTCCTGTTGCATGGCAATCCTTTGATTCTTCTTTTGTTGATTCTCACGTTCTCCTTAGCATCTCTTCTAAACTTTCTCACTTCTCAGACCTCTTATATTACCTCCTCCCACTCTCTCTCAGCAAAGGACTTT